CTTGCATGCATCTCTAAGCAATTGACATCTGACCCCTTTAGCATAGGACAAGAATACAACTTTGCGTCCGAAGTAGGCACCAAGGCAGCAGGGGCTCGGCAAGGATTAGTGGCTCCTCACCCCTTCAGCCTCCACTGTGAATTGCTGGGAAATCTTCCCTGACCTCTTTTAAAAATGAGCGAAAGCAGTGTGTTGGAAACTCTTAAGCCTTCTCCCGTTGACTGTGGTTATTGCCAACATAGCCTCGATGGGTGTGCAAATGTGCTATTTGCCAGCACTTCCACGTACTGCTTGTGAGAATGGGAACAGCAGCAGCCATGCTGGTTGCAGGATGGCCCTTTTTCAACCCCTGCTGAAAAATTAAACACCCGTGTTTTTGGGAAGTGTCACATCTTTGACAAAAAATTATGTTTTCCCACTGTTCAGGCAGGACTGGTTAGTGCTGAAGTTGCCAAAATTTCCATCTGTGCTCCTCCACGTCCCGGCGCAGGCAGCTGCCTTTTCCCTGCCAGTCTACCCTCACCCCGCGCGGAGGATTGAGACCTCCGTATCAGTGCCAGGGCAGCTACCTCGATGCCATCGGTGAGTTTTTCTTAGGCCACCATGATGGCTTGTGTTTTGCAGATACCTGCCCCGTGACGGGCACATTCCTCGGCCGCACCGCATCCACTCAGCCCTGGCTCACGCAGTAATTAGCCAAGTGTTTCCTGGCTGCCTTTAATTACAGCCGCAACTATTTCCCTCACTCTAACTTAACACCTCTGAATGACAGCAAAGGTTTTGGGCTGCATCCTGCGCGGAGCGCGGTCCCAGCACGTGTTGGGACGCAGCTGTGCACCGGCAGCCGCTGATTTGAACCCAAAGGGCTCATACCCACTTGGTGAGTCACGTTTTTAGTTTTTGACCTCAAGCTCGTAATTGCCCACGCTGGGAATTAGCGGTGTCTCCCCCAGCCCGCAGCTGAGAGACACCGGGCTTTCTAAACCAGCCAGAAGGGCAGGATCCTCCTTAAATCTGTGTTTGAGTCTATCTGTCTCGGCTGTAATTTGCCCCATGGCAACACAGCTCAGCTGACAAAGCCGTGGAAGGAGAGTGCACGTCACCTCCCTGGCCACATTACACTTGGTCCCCCAACATTTTCACGCTGACGGCAGCAAGGTGGGCATCGAGGCCACCTGCCCGCAGACAGCCCATGGCTCTGTGCTGGGGGCACACGGCCTTGCAGGGCTGCGTTCGATGGCAGTACCCAAAAGGGCGAGCTTTTCCCCCACCCGCACCTTGCTAACGCTGTTGCGGTTAGCCGACCTGGTGGTGGTGGTGTTGCCATGGCTGAAACCCGCTGTATTTCTGGTCGCAATACATGCCTTCAGCGGCTTCCAACCAGCTCCGGGGCTGCCAGAAACCGACGCAGCAGCTGCCGGGCTCAGCCTCGCGAGGCTGTGATCTATAACGTGCATTGTCTTTTTATGTAATGTGTTTTATTAAACATCTTCTAAAGCTTACAAGTGTCCCCAGGACATAACTCTCCAGTGCAACGTAACGCTTTGCCAAGTAATGAAGTATGATTTATGGTGGTAACGGTTATCCTATGGTTTTTTTTTAAAAATTATTACAGCAATAGCTCTGTCAAATATAGGAATATAACATGCTGCATTTGGCACGTTTATGACAACAGTGCTCTGGTTTTCTTAACTCCACAGTTCAGTGTTGGCAGTATTTCAAATTCTTGAGACAGATGTTTAAATGAATTTTTTAAGAGGACAGTGAAATACTTTTAAAACATCATACAGCGCTGAGTGTCTCAATATGAGCAGGAACATTATTTCTTTAACGTTCAGGTAGGGCAGGGCAGCACATGGCCTCTCTGGTTTAGATCTCACAGTAAATGATGGAAGTAGCAAATGTTGAATTAGCTTTCTGGGGCATCCTGGCCTGTTGTTAACTTTTTGGCCGGGGGGGGGCGGGGAGGAACGGACACTTGACCTTCTCCTGGATTTAGTTCGTATTCGCATCTCCTTTGTGAGCAGTGAAAACGGATCCACATTTGTTTTGAATGCAGTTCCCACCACACTGATACAGGACTAAGTGGTCTCACGCTGACATTTTGAGTGTGTCATTGTGGTCCCAGTGGTTAGGGTTTCAGGCCAGAAATGACAACCATTTGGAAAAATGTAAATGAGAACCCTGGTCACATATCTGCGAGGCAGATAGATAGCATTCAAGTATTTCCAGCGAAACACTGAAAATTCTTGGGTTTAAAAACAAACAAACAAAAAATTCCTTTTTTTAAAGCTATTGGCTAAAACTGACGAGAGCCCTGTAATTAAAAGCCAGGGTATTCGGCGCTGGCATTGCTGTTTGTGACTTTCAGTCATGGAAAATCGGAGCCCACAAAGGCAGAAGTCGGCATTGTTGGAGACATCATCGCCCTCGGCGTAGCGTGTGTTTGCGGCTGGGAAGGGAAGACGCCCCACAATGAGGCTGCGCACGCAGTCAGTGCAGAGAGATTGAAGACAAGGGAAGCATCAGTAAAGCAATGAACACTTATATTTAATTTACATTTGACAATTTGCACATAAATAATGATGTAAACCAATACGTAAACATATGATAGTTTGTTGTTCTAGCAAAGTAAAAAGCCTGTTAACTTTGGTCAGAGTCTTTCTTAAGAGAGACAAAAAAAAAAAAAAACAAAAACCCCAAACACTGTTGATTGTTGCTACATTCACATGTAAAACTTCTAAGGGGAGGGGGAAACAGTAAAGAGAAGTAACAATTCTTAAAGCTGATGCATATAAATTCTTGTAAAATTTGTATCAAATACAAGAAAGCACTACAGGCAAATAATAGAAGTGTGTGTCCAGTGACAGAGTAGTGATACTTTGGTTCATCCTACAAGTAAGTACTATATTTATGAACTATTGCTACATTTAAAAGATGTCAGCCTCACAATTTGCAGGAGTGGAAATGTAATGAACTGTAGTCCTTCAAAAGCTCTGTTGAGAGACTTGTATTTCAGGATTGTTTGTTTTTAACAGAAGGCATTAAAATGAAATTTGCTGAAAAAAAATCACTGAATTCTGGATTGCTGGAGTAAGTAAGTGGGCTATTTTAAAATTTCTAAGAATATAACCAGACAAAAAGATATACATGGAGGAAAGGTGTGTAATAATGCTACTTATATGAGTTGACCGTGCAACGAGACGAGGGGCTTATCCCAACTAACTTCCATCCTGCCCTTCACTGTGTTTTGTGAACACACCACGCACGGGTCATATTTGGCTTCTTTTCAAGTTCTTTCAGTTACATTTTCTGGCTGTTTGTTCACTGACCACCCACCTTCTTCCCCCCAGGACACACTGCTGGGAGAGCAGGGGTCCCATGACCCCCGCCCTGCAAACAGGGTCATTCCCACCAAATTTGCTGAGACGGCACGTGTGGGTGACGTCATTCACATCAGGTATTTGCAAGTTCAGGCTTCGCCTGGACAGCTGTGCACGTGTACTTGCAAGTGATAAATGCCTTAGTACAACCTTCTGGTTTTGAGGTCATTGGTAATATGCAAAACTGGATAACATCTGATTTTCACACTTAGATGAAAAATAGGTTTTATTACATGGTTTGGCTCACAACTTAAGTGGTATAAATATATATACATATACATATATAGTATAGTGGTATAAATATATCTATAAATATACATGTATTCTTTGCTACACCTCAAACGTCACCATATCATCTTTGGGCTTAGCAAAACAAAAAGATAAAAGGACGTGCATTCTATCTTTCCCTGTGCACATTTTGGTTTCTTCTCTAAAGTAGCAAAGCATTTAGATACAACAGCATTGTCTGCACCACTGGACACAAGCACTGAGGTAATTGTTGTTCAACAACTTTGCAATGCCCTTTTCTTCTTTAATTAAATTAACCACAAAATGTACAAACACAAATACTGAGAAAAATCTGAGTCGTACAGGAAGGAAGAAAAAAAATGTATGTGCCAGGAAAGGACTTTGTTCCCCACTTCTACCCACACAAAGTGGGAGAGGAAAATAAAAGTAAAACCGAACCCCCTTCTTCCTCAGGGAATCTGACTATCTTTTTTTTTATCCCTGGAAGGCTCTGGCCAAAATAAAAAAAAAAAAAAAAAAAAAAAAAAAGAAAAAAAGAGAAGAAAGTCATCTGCCAAAAATCTCCTTTTACGCAGAATATTAAGAATATCTGTGTGTTTGCTTTTAAATTGCTTTTGGAAACAAAAGAATGTAAGTGAGATTTATTTTGGAAGAGCCACTTCAAGCTGATGCATTCCTTTGGTCATAAAGTTACATGACAATAATGTGTGGGGCTATAGCTGTTTTCTAGAAACCTGTGGTATTGTCCATGGCAGGTAGGGGTTTGCTGTGCCACATCTGTTTCGGGTAGAGCTGCAGGTAAAAGAATCTCTCTCCTCTCCTCAGAGAGGCAGAGGTAGCAGTTTCTTCCCTGCTTGCTGCTACTCTGGGTTTTTGGGTTATTTTTCCTTTTCAATTCCCAGTGGGGTGATTTGCACATAAAAGTACACAGCATTTTTTTCAAACCAACGGATCTAGGATTCTGTATGTCAAATGTCCAACTTTGGCAATACGAAAAACCACATTTGTTTAAAAAACATCGGTACATAAAACACATTTACTGAAACCCCAATCTTAGGTTCTTAAAACAGATGTGCAGAAAAAAATATCTACAAAGAATGGCCATAAAACAAAAAATAAAAACATTTAAAGTAAAAATTACAATGAATTTTCCAGTCATTGTAAACATTTTCCTAATTATTGCTTTTAGAATGATTAATTGCATAATAAATTATGAAGTACTATCATTGAAAAAATAATTATGGATAGATGATTGTCTTTTAGTAACTGGCGAGGCAATGCACAGTCCTTTGCCCCTTTTTATGCCCTGAGAAAACAGTAACTTTGGAGTTCCTTCTTTCAGCTGGAGAGCGTAGGGAAACTACTGTAAGCCAAGATTGCTTTGCAGCATTGAAACTATGTACAAGCAACTGCTACAGGCACCCTGACTTGCCAAGTCATAAATAAAAAAAAAAAAATCACTTTGCCAAAAAGTCTTAAGGGTCCATTGGTTCAACTGTTTCTTGCTTGACCTTTACAGGTAACAGAGGTAGTGGGTGACCGTGAGGCAACTTCATAATTGACATATCTGACGACTCATAAAGGTTGCATCCTGAGGAGATAAGTCCATTTCCCAGGTTCCTCTGCAGAGATACTTTCAGATTAGCTCCTTCCATTTCCCTCCTGAGCATGGTCAGTATATCCTTCTCCACGATCGATGTTAAGTCGATATTGTCCTCCACTTCTTCCAACTTGTCAGCATTGTCACTGATGTCAAACTTCTCGATCTCCTCGTTGATTCGATTCAGGTCCTCCATGGAGAGGCCGGAGGCAGGGGCGACGGGGCAGTTGCCCTTCAGGTGGACCTGGAGGCTGCAGAGGTGAATGTAGCTCTTGTGGCAGTGGATGCATTTATGGGGACGTTCCCGGGTGTGGAGACGCTTGTGCAGCTTCAGGTGCACAAACTGGGTGAATTTGGCCGGGCAGAGCTTGCACTGGTAAGGCTTCTCTCCAGAGTGGAGCCGCAGGTGGGTTTTGAGATTGCTGGTGCTGCTGAACCGCTTGTGACAAACCTAATGTGGGGGGTGGCAGAGAAACAGTGAATGAGTGGGAGGGGATTTTATGGTTTAAATCGCAGACGCCTAGGAGGAGATGGCAGGATGAAGCGGCAGCTTTTTGTGTCTTCACACTTTCTCAGAGAGGGAAAAAAATCCCCACCTTTTTTATTTAAATATTGCTGAACAGCAATTTGTGTGCAGTCGATGGCAAAACTGTATCGGGCAGACGTTGCTCTAGCAGGCTAAAGGCAACCCTGCTGTCTCACAGACGCTGCTGCACCAGGGCTGGAAACGGCTGTGATACGGACTCCAGCCCTGAGCAGCCATGGGTTTGTCACACAGCCCTCCCCACGCGCTGTACAGGGAGTGCACGAGCCCTGCCGTCCCTTCAGCCTCCAAGGGAAGTTGTCTCTGTGGTGTGTTACATACCTGACACTCGTGCGGTTTTTCTCCCGTGTGTACCAGATAGTGCTTCTGGAGGTGAGCCAGCTGCGTGAAGCCTTTATTGCAAGTCTGGCATTTAAATGGTCTCTCTCCACTGTGTACTCGGAGGTGCACCTAGGGAGAAACAAAGCAATTAACAATTTGCAGTTTCCAGTACTGTAACAGAAGTTCTTTCAGATGTTTCCTAAAGTTAGCGGAAGACTCCCATTGCCAAAAGACAATGTTATCTAGTTAATTAGGTGGCGTCAGTATTAAAACACTCTCTTTACAACCATGCTTTCTTGCTGGGGGGTGGCATATTAAGCCCAGACTGATAAATAGCCTAAAAGCAAGGGAGGCCTGTCCCTACTTTTCCTAGATAACCTACAGGGAGAAACCAGAGCCTTCCAAGAAGGCTCGTGTCTTATTCTCCACTGCCTACCTTCAGATTGGAGAGCTGGCCAAAGGTCTTGGAGCAAACGTTGCATTCGTACTTGATCTTCCCGTTCTGCTTCTTCAGTGGGTATGGGAGCGTTTTGTAACCGGTCACATTCCTCTTACTTTTAATGAGATTCATGGCTTCTTCACTGCCGGTGGCAGCCAATACCACTGAGGTAGGTTTAGGTTGCATTATGTGTTCTGAACTGGCTGCTGTACCAGCTGTGGGTGACCCGCTGGTAGGGCTGCATGGCTTGTCCTTCATGCTGGCAGCAGCGCCCGTGATAGAGAAGGCACTGTTAGGTGCTGGTATGAGGAAGTCTCTCGGATGATCAGGCTGCAGCAATCGACGGCCTCCTTCACTGGGCAACGAACTGGGGAGTGTGGTGGGGTTCAACATGTGGTGGGAAAGGCTACCTCCGCTGAGCAGGTTGCCATAAAGAGGATACATCCTTGGGAAGAGATTGAAATTGTTGATGCCATTGATATTGTTCAAAGCGCTCAGGTTATTACAGCTCATATTGAATGGAGGTAACAGGAATTTGGGGTAGTGGGGGTTATAGGATGGTAGAAAGGCAGGTGGGAGGTGGCCAGGGGGTGCATATCCAGGATAAGACCCCAATCCTTCTGAGCCGTACGATCCGTTCAAGTAAGAGTAGGGCTCTCTGTGCTCTTGGGAAGTAGGTGCCAGAGGTGAAACCGTGACCCCTGGACTGCTGTGAGGGCTTGAACTTTTTAAACTTTGGTCTGGGCTGCTCCTCCCGGAAGGACTTGGCGTAGTAGATGTCTGGATGGGCGAGTGAGTAATGTAGCTGGGTCTGTCCATCCCGTATGCTAAGGAAGCTTTCAGATAGTCTTCCGGAATGTGAGGTCGGATTGGGTAGACAACTCGAGGGAAGAAACACCTCTCCGGGCTATAGTTCTTACGTAAATCATCCAAGTCTTTTTCTGGAGTAACTGGTGAAATGTTGGTCTGGAAGAAGTCTTTTCCTTTTGGGGGATTGGATTCCATTTTCAGGATTTCTTTCACACTGTGCTCCTTCTTTGGGATGCTTTTCTGATAGAGCTCATCTTTATCAGCACTGTGCTGCTTTGGATTAGCGTGGGTTTGTGCTGAAATACAAAGACAAGGTAATGATTATTTAGATGTGCCACCAGCATTATCTCTTTTCAAAACACAATCTAACTCCTCCAAGTTTAGTGGGAAGGAAGGGCCACTTTTAGATACGAGCAATTATTTAACTCGCCAAAAAACTAATTTCTGTGTGAAGAAATGCCTGCTGGTATTAAGTGTTAATAAAACGCATTGTTAATTTAAGGGATACCAGCCAGTAAACACAGATCTGGATGATGATTCATTTGCAGAGTGCTAGTCTCCACTTTGCAAACTCATTTCACCTTCCTTTCCCCTTAAATTTGACTAGCTTTGCTGTTGAATGTCTATTTAAGCAGTATTTCTAATAAATGCAGTAACAAGCATTTGTTCACAGTACAGGTTTAACAGAAGGAGTTTGCAGAACGCAAGCTCCAGAAATGTTCCCCAGTAAAATAACAAGGCATGACAAATCGGCTTTTGCCAAACCACAGCAGTCACTTCACCAGCCAGTTCAATTACTTACAGTACCAAAAAAACCATGGCTGGCTAGGATGAAAGCCTTCTTCAAAGAGAAGGTATTCTCCATCAGTAAACAGATCATTACTCATTAAATATACTGCTTAGGAACATCTACAACAAAGCAGACTATTTACTGCAGATTTCTGTGGCATTCAGTCTATGCAAAACTCCTCTGCTTACAGCTGTACTTTATAAAAAAAAAAAAAAATGCTGAAGCAAAGCAAAAGAAAGCAAGACTAGTTGGCTCCAGCTTAAGTTGAAATGTACTTTAAAAAAAAAGGAAAAAGAAATATGTATTTAGAAGGAAATGCAAGCTAGCATCCATTCAGCTCAGTTCAGTGCATACACTGTTTGTTTGTATTCAAAGACACTATCTTGTTATCTGGACATAATACAATATAAACCGTACACTGAATGATGTCCCCAATAGAAAAAGAAATCCGCTTTTATCTAATCTCCCAAAGTTAATAGTTATATAATCTTGAAATGATGACTTGCAAGATATTTTATTATAGGGGAAAAACTACAAGAAGGTTTCATATTTGTGGTTAGTTATGTGCAAGGTTTTCCATCAAAAGGTACAAGTCAATGCTCTAAAGTATTGCAGCCCTTTAGCCAAGTTCCTACTTTTGTGACTGACTGTTCTTATGTCACTAACTGAGGTGAGAAACAGTTACTTCTGATTTTTGGAGGACCAGCTGAACCCAGTGAGGAAGATGGGAACAGACAATGACCACGCCATTTTCAACACGGATTCTTTGCTTTGCTATTCACTACCCTGATGGAATCTATTATTTGGCAACATTACCCTATAAGGCAAAGAAACAGCCATTTATTAAACGTATCCAAGAAAACGGCTGCTTTCAAAGCACGCTCCTACTCACAGCAACGCCCTTTTACAGTACATCCTTTTTCAAATGGCATTAGACTAGTAGCAAGCAAATTTAGTTTGAGATATGTAAGCAGTTTGTGTATTTTCAAGTTGCAACGAAATGCAATTGAACGCAGTTATGTTCAATTAAAATATTTATGATAAAACATAGGGTGTGATGCACAGCAAGCACGTACACATGTAAGTGCACAGGTAGCTTCGCAATTACTTCTCTCAATGTTAAAAGTTTAATGTAGAGCTGTTTCAAAAATAAATTAGTAGCGTCTTGTTGTCTGGCATTAAAAGGCATCTACTTTCTTTGGTCATTTTGTCTGTACTCGTGGACTGGTAACTCATTTTCTAAATGTCCACCCAGATTTTTGGGTATAACATAGCCTACTAGGTTCAAGAAGCTCCACAACGGCACTGTGGATAATATTATCTACATCTTCTTATCAGCTGCCTGTCACCACACCAGCATCTCAGAGCAAACATTCCTGGTGACACTATCAGTATCGGGAAGTATCGAGACCGGGAAGTACTGAAAGCTGGGGGGAGGAAGCTGGACTTGTGAAGCCTCGCAGCAGAAAAAATAAATAAATACCACCTTATCAGCCCCATATCAGTTTCTCAGCGGGGTCTGTCGAGCAGGAAGTTCAAATTGACACTTTTCTCTTTTAAAGAAAAAAAAATCCGGGGGGAGGGGAAGAGGAAGGAGAAGTGCTGGCGCTGCTGGAAAAGCAATAGAAAAACCAGGGCCGCTTCAGCTGGAGGAACAGCTCCTACTGTCACAAGGTTAAACATCAGGGTGGGGGCGTACGTGCCTTATGTGCCGGAGCAAGCCCATCAGTGACAGAAAGGAAGCTCACACCGAGGACGTAACTTTCTTTGTGCAACAGGCCCATATCCCCACGTGACAGACTAAAGATAATTGCTCTTTCCTCCCCTTCGAAGTTTTCCCGGTAAAGCCTTCCCTCCTACTAATTTCCATGTGTAGACAGAAGTTGCAATATTTAAAGATTATTTTTCAAGTCCAACTGTGACAGCTCTCTTTAGTTTGCAAGCTATCTTTGGTCCATAAATCCCTTCTTGGCTTTTTCCCCTATTACCTGAGCACAAGGGACACTTGGGAACACCAGAGAGATCAAAACATAAACAAGTGTGTCAGCACTGTGTAAAATAAGAGAAGGTAATGTTGGGGGCCAAGAAGAGGTTCTTATGTTTTATACTGAACATGGATTTAAACCAGGGCTGAAACCGATTGCGAGGTTTACAACGTTTCTTGTTGCTCTTAAAGGAGCCATACTTCAAAGTTAGAGAGATATATTTCTTATAAATGGATTTTTTTTAACTTGTGATTTTAGATTTAAGTTCTTACCTATCACAATGTCTCCCTCTTGCTCTTGAAATGCGTTTCTCCCTCCCACCCCCATATACATATATATACACTAAATATAGGCACATACTCTTCCAAGATCTGTCTAGTTTCTGTGGTCAGAGACACACACAGAAAAGAGGTTCATGACAAAACAAGAACAGTGCAGCTGCATTTCTAAGTTACTGATCTGAGGGGAGGGGGGGAATAAGAAAGAAAAAAACCCAGACGTGCCTCTTTAGGAGCCTGATCCACTTTTAACTGAGGTCAACAGATTATTTGCTCAGATCTGAGATTAGTGAGTGCGTGCAAGAGGAAACGGGACAAAACTCTCTGTTACTTTTAAGTATTAATAAAACTTGAGTGGAGGGGCTGCCTGAAGTGACTCCAATGTGGGTGTTCCAGCTACAGACTGCTGCATAGCTGTAGGCTTTGCTCTCATTTCTTGTGCTCCAAGCTGTAGCCTAAGAAAGACTTCATAAAAACAATGATTTGTTTTTTCTAAAAACTTGAAAAACGGTTGTAGGCAGACAGTAATTTCAATAGTAATTTCAGGAGCGACATGGTACTGAACACTTCGAGTGGTGGAGCTTAATTATGCCGATTCACATTTTCGATCTAAATTAAGCACCTCTTTTGCTAGTAGAAAGAGAACCTCGAAGTTGTGAAGCAGGCAAAACAAAGAATGTTTCCACTCAAAATGAGAACGGAGACCAACATTTAGAAGTATATAATTTGATCATCTGTTTTCTAAATGTGTCCAAGGCAGGGTGACATGCCTTTGAAAACATTTTGCTCAGAGAAGGTCTTTAAGGGAGCCTTCAAATAATCCTCAATATTAAGTCAACTTTAGCCCCCAAATTCTGGTTTTGTGAAGACAACCTTTCATATAATTTCAAAATTATTTTCCTGAGCCCTTTTGAAGATTCCAGGAGGCATTTTTTTAAGCAAGTGCAGATGTTTCCTCTCAACCCAAACAGAAAAGCTTCAAAACCTGAAAGTGAAACTGCCCATAAACAAAAGGGAAAGCGAGCAGCAGGGCTTAGCTAATGGCCAGCGTTGTCAGGGCCAGCAGGAAGAAGAAAAGAATCAATCACATTTAAGAAACAAGCATTAAGAAGTTAATCTTCACAGAATCCGTAAGATTTTAAATAATACTGCATTAAACCTGTTAATGAAACAAAAGGATTGCCAAATGTTTTTATAAATATGCAAATTGTCTTCCCCCAACTCAAACTTTTTTTCTGAAGCTTGACCAAAAGAAGCTGTCACCTGCCCATACTTGACTGAGGAGACAAACACGACATAAGCAGCAGGAAGTTGCATCATATGATTGCAATACATGAACATTATTATCAAATAGTCATGTCCTGAGTCAATGCAATTATTTGGGGTTCTTGTTTTTTGGGTTTTTTTGTTTTGTTTTGTTTTTTTTAAAACTGTTACCCTCTCCACCCTCCATCCCAAAATAATCCTCCTACGATGAGGTAGGAATGTTAAATGATGTGGGACCCCCAAAGCAAATTCCCTCGGTCTGTTCACTAGTCCAAAAAAAACCAACCACCACAGACTAAAAGACAATCTGAGGGCCCAGTTGAATGAGCATAAGCACATTTAACAAATTACTGAAAATTGATTTTTTTGGCCAGCAGAATACAGAAATCTTGTGCCATCGCACTTAAAACCATTTCCTGGACAACAGCACGATCTGAAGTTGACGTATCCCGAATCTCAATAGAAAACAACATCAATGGCCTCAAAACAGGCAGAAAGGAGAACGGGATCGTTTGAAAAAAGAGTGAGTTTCCACCACTGGGATAACGCGGAGTCTTGCTTCTACCACTGTTGTGCAATTCCTTGCAGGCACTTCAACATCCACTCGAAATTACGTAGCTCCACTCAGAGCTAATCATGGCCGTGAACGTAGGTGTGTGCTTCAGCGTCTGAAGGACTGGGTCAAAGGCCCCAGTTGAAGAAAACACAGAGGACAGGGTTAAACCCATAACTAAGTACACGCCTAATTGCTGTCTTGAATCTGGATGCTTTCCTTCTACGGCACAAATGAACTAACGCTGGAGAAGTTACCTTTAATTTGAAAGTTTGCTGTTACAGAGGCAAGCAGATGTTATATGTGGATGTGTAAATATATTTATGCTCTAAAGTGGTAGTTCTCTCATTTTTGAGGCCACTAATTATGGGAAATAAAGCCAGAGAAATTCTCTGATACATTTTTCTTGGAGGCCTATCCCACTCGGGTGCTTAAAGAGGAACTGATGTGCTGAACTCCCAAGACCGTGATCCCCAAAGCCCTAAGGCACCTAAAGCAGTTGCCTATATTTTAAGTTGGCAAGACTGGAAGCTTTCCGTAGGTGTGTGTCCCAGGTGGCCTCTCCTGTGCTGGGCTGGGCAACCAGCCAAGACACAGCTCTTCCAAAGCCTCCCGCGGGCACCAGCGTGCTCTGCACACCCAAGACGCAGTGGAGGGAGGGAACTGGGCACAACACACCATGGCCATGGGCTGGCACTGCTGCTGCACCACACTCGCACCAACATGTGTCCCAGCAGGAGAGAGCCCTGACTTCAGCCTGTGGTGGGACCTGGACCCCAACTTTCCCTCCCTCTTCCTCAAAGGGTGCCAAAACCAGCAGCCAGGAACTGGGAGAGGCGGCAATGCTTGCCTGCTCCTCTGAGGGAAGCCATGCCACTTTAAACACCGAATTATTAGCGATCCTTTTGGCTGGAGATGGCTTTCCTGACTTTCTAGGAGGTGTAGGAGGTGACCAGTGGGGGGTCTCCCCAAGCAAGATTGTGTTACGATGTTTTGATGGGGCAAAGCCCCACATCTGCAGCAGGTGCAGGATAGTAGCAATTTGGGGACATGCCTTCTGCACTTTATTCGTAGACACACGCAGTGCAAGGGCACCTTGGCCAGGCTTGCAATAGAGAGAGGTTGGCAAGGCAGCAGGATGCTCGCTAATTTTAGATTTTACTAGAAGTGGCCTGGGAGGAAGGAGAAGAAGAAAACTGAATGGTGCTGACATTCACTTTAAACTCATCTGGTTCCAGTACTAACGCTGGAAAAACCATCCCTGCTTGCACTGTTGCTACAGGACCTTCAGCAAATAAGCATCTTTGGGAGACCTCTGGATTTTTTTCCGTACTTTTCAAAAAAGGGCACTGAAACATTACAAAACCTCAATCCTTATGGTACCTGTAGGGTTTCTGGCCCAACTGCAAGCTTTAGGCCTGAATGTGTGTGTTTGTCACAAAGATAAGGGGAAAAAATGAAAAAAGTGAGAACATTTTCTCATTTTTCTGAACTGCTGTTTTCTTTAGGTGGAGGGGGCTAACATAAAATTTCTAAATGGTTTAAACAGAATTATCTTCACAAAGAAGAAAGGATATTTCAATCTCAGCATCCGGAAAGATTGCTCTTTCAAATGTTAAGGCTGAACTCCACAATTGTTGCTCAAGATCCCATCTCTCTAAATGCATACATTGATCCTACTTTTACTAAAATGGATTATTCTGCACATGTCCAGACACCCCTAGTTTTAACCTGAGTAACCAGGTAATTAGTTGACACTTGACAAGTACATTCCTCACTACTTCTGCAAGGCAACCTGAGATGCCAGCAGATGCAGGAAACTGAGGCTGCGTTTGTGTATCCTCCTAGCTAGTGGCCAAATGTGTTCTGGCTGGATCTTTGCAAACTCCTCATCCACAGGAACCCTTAATGCTATTGTCTCGTCCTACCTGCAGGTTCCACTGCAAAGCCAACAGTTCATCATATCAGGAAATAAAACTGCACAGTGAGTGCTGAAATGACATATGTGCAAAGATGACAGAATCAGTGAGATATTTTTTGAAGAGGGAATATAGCAGCATAGGACATCCCCTCCCTCTCTTCCCTCTGCCATTAACAGAAAGCAAATTTTCTTCTATAATTTGTAGGGAAAGACCAAAAACTGGTGAAAGGACGACATTCATGGAGGACAGATGTACTTTTGATTAATCTGAATGTGTGACATCATTTTCATGATGCGGGGTTACATTTTAGCTCTAATGATCCCCAAAGTAACACTGATATTTTATAATCCATTATTTGTTGCCAAATAACAGCAAATAGTCCTTTTCACAAAAAAAACTGCTTGCATTTTTTCCTTCACATTTCAGTGTAGGTGCTGGCAGAAGGACAAAAGAATGCTCTGCTCTATCTCAGAGCAGCTAGCAGGAGGGGAGGCAGCCTAAGAGTCGAATCAGAAGTCAGCAAGAATCTCTCCCTCTCTTCAAGGGGCCCTGAGTGAGGTGCTAGGCAGTGATTAAACTATGAGTAAAGCGCTGAGGCTGGAAATGGTCAGAAACCACAGCGGAGCGCAGAGATAAACTCCTGGAAATACCTCTTTCCCCTGCTACCAGTGCTATTATTTTTGAACAGAAAACGAAAGTTGCGATATACAGCCAAGAAACGGGGACAAAATACACTGAGCTTAAAAAACAAGTAACCAGATTAGAAGACCACAGAAGGTTTGCTCCCATAAGATAAGTAAGCGTAGATGCAAGGCTCAAAGAGCATTATGCAGTCAACATATATTTTGTCAGACACCTAGACAGTCATGGCACATGGCTACTTCCTTGTACAGTGAGGACAGCCCTTTGGGAGCATGACTGGACAGCCTTTAGTATATGCTATCAAAGCAAACTTTTGCTTAACACGCTACAAGATCTGGACTTGGAAAGCCTGAGAGTGAACCGACATCTATGGTTCTGAAGGCATAGGATAGATTCAGGTTGTCTGTCCAGAATTTCATCAGATAAGACTCAGACTGTAAACCACTAACTGTTCAGATTTTTTATAATCTGTTTACATTTGAACGGGCACAGGGAACTCATTCTGTTGTGTTGGGTTTTTTAATTCCCCTTTTCCACTCCGAGCTACCTACTGTGACACAACAAGATGATGCAGCTGTGTAATTATACAACTTATTATTAGATCATATAGGCAGAAGGAACATTGCTAGCATTCCTTGTTTATACTGTAATCCACTTACTGAGGTTCATCATTGTCAGCTCTCTGGAGGACGGATAGTGCAGCCTCTCTGCAAAGTCTCGGCAATACCACACAAGCAGCTCTTGGTTGGCAGGGATGGGCTTGATGGTGTAGAAGTAGATGTTCATTCCATTCTGACAAGCAGCCAAGTTCTGTTCCTGAACAGAGTAGCCAGGGTTTACATAACGCATCCAGTTGCTCTTGTCCTCGTTAAATCCATCAATGAAGTGGTGAAGCTCACCACTTGAATAGATCTGGAATAGAGAGGAAGTGCTTATGAATATATATACGCACAATACGCGCACAGAGTCCAGAGGAGAAAAATGATAAGCTTTTTTTTTTTTTTTAAAACAAGCAGATATTACTGAAGTAAGAATCCAAGCTGGGTTCCCCCCTTTCCAACTATGATATCCTCTGTGTTAAGAAAAGACATGCTTATTCAAAGGTAAGTCCACAGTCACCTTTTCCATTTCTGCTTACCCTGTGTCTCTGCTAGTATGGACAAACCAGACCCAAAATCTGAAATGCAGAGTACTCTCCTTGCATGAACAGTCTACCTTAGAGTCCTTTTCCTGGTGCTATGATCAAGAAGTGGGTGATGCTAATGACTGCAGGTCTGAGTGCATGCTTGCCTTAATGCTTTGAGTCACCTGTGTATAAGACTGACTGGCTGTGCTACGTCAGAGTCTTTCTCGACTTTTTCTATGGCCTCTGTACTTGCAGTTTCCTACCACCTCCACCCAAAGGTTTAAACTATGCAAACATCCTCCACCTCCCCAGAGTCCTAAAGCAACACTTGCTCATAGCTGGACTGTAACCCTTTTGTAGAAAGGCTGGGTGAGGCAAAGATGAACTTCACCTGCCATAACTTAACGAAGACCTGGAGAGGGGCCAGCAGATGAGAAGTCACTTTTCCTACTGAGGGACACGTTCTGGCTTGCCCACAGAGGGGAAAGAAAGCATGAATCTGAAAACTGCTCAGCGGCTTGGGGAGAAAGAAGTCCCAATCACTGACAGAAGCTACTGTTTCTTAAATAATTCTCTTATTCACCACTTTAAAAAAAAAAAAAAAAAATCAAGAAAAATCCAGGAGACGCATTTGTTAAAGACACATCCCTTACTCTCAGGGGGAACTAGCTCCATGCTGGATAAAATGGGGTTCCTGGGTTTCGCAGAACAGATGACCAGGTGAAAGCCAGACCTTGAAGCAGGAGCAGCTTGCACCAGTGACGCACCTCGCTGAGCAGGAAATGCCTTTTCGAAGGGGAGACTGAGCTTATCTCAGGGGGAAAACACTCCACAGCGTGTTCCTGCCTTTGTGTTCACGCCACTGTCTTTCCCACCTACCTGGCCGGGCAGCGCGTCCTGTGAGCGCCTGCCGGCCGGCCGGGACCTCTCCTCTTCTCCCCGAAAGAGCCGCCGGCGGAGGGGCGAGGCAGCCTGGCCCTTTAACGCGGGCCGTAAACACCAGAATCACTTTCTTTAAGAGTAACTTCCTGTAAACTGAGAAGGGGGAAATACATGTGGCCTCATCAAAGCAGCTTGCGAGAGATTTTGCGGTGTGTTTGTTATGAGAAAATGGAAGGGAGCCGGGCGAGTTGTGCTGCATCAATAGGAGCCTTCGGGTTTCTCTGCTCACCCCGGCTCGCAAACTTCCAGGAATGCAGGGCTCCGGCCCTCGACCCCTGCCACTGCTTCCCAAACCGACCCTCCACCACTCCCACGGCAGGGCCACGGATGCTGCAGGTCACCATGCTCCGGCTCCGGGGCGAAGGCGCCCCACAGGGCTCCCACCTCTTCTGGGGAAGGCGAGACCAGATGTGCTGAGTCACGGCACGGTTCCCAGAAATGACGTTGGCCCCGGGCGGCCCTGCTCCCCTCGTGCGGGCAAGGAGCAGGCAGCATCCCCCCGCGCGCATAACAGATGTTCCTGCTCCTGCCAGCAAGCCCAGGATGCCTTTAATAACATGTGGGAAGTTATCTCCCACAATTTCCTTCGCATATGCAAGCCTGTGTCAGACCCCTAGGAAGGAATTCATTTTTGGTGCAGCAGCCTGTCTTGAACGAATCAAGAGATTATAACAGGGAATTTAACGATGCTTAGATGGCTCCTAGGATATTATTTCTGAGGATCCCTCCACATTAAGGCTTAAAATCACATCATGAGAATGATGTCATCTTTCTCGCTGCAATATAGGAACAAAGTCCTGCAAGATGGTTAGCAGCCCCTCTTCCCAACGTTTGCTGTCTTATTAACAACTGGCAGAGCTAGGGGCGGTGTACCAGTCTCTTCCTCTGCTGGACACAAGCTCCCGAAAAAACTCGGCTAAAAGAAACATTTTGTAGCTTTGTGAATGTGAAAACAGTTGCCTGCTTTGTAAAAATGCCCATGCAAAATAACTGCCTGTGCAATGCTGTATTGCATCGCATGAAGACAATCTGAGAAAACCAAAATGATGCAATTAGGTAGGAAGAAAGGGGTGTGGGGAATGCTAGTGCTTGCCCTGGGTTTCACCTGGATGTGAGGTTGGGATATTGCTAAGGCAGGCAGGCACCTGGGCACAGAGGCTTGGATATACTCCCAAATCCACTGATTTAGACACAACCTAAATGGCTAGAAGGCAGCAAAACAAATCCATGGAAGGAGATGGGGCTGAAGGAATGTTCTCTAACAATTAATAATGGGTCTGCAAAGAAAACTGAGGATTATTTCAATTGATAAACCGGAAGCATACTCCCCAGCACAGACTTCCTAAGCCAAAACAAATTGGCTGGTGCTCCCTTCCAGCTTATAGTACAGACAACAAATTAGGCATCGCCTCTAGTGTTTGTCTGCCATTAATGGATTTTTCCCTTCCCTAAGATCCGTGGGCTGCTCTTTTAGCACTTTCTGAAGTGGACTAGAAAAGCTTATGACTTGAATGACATATGCTTAAGACCACCACCACTGTGTTATAGCAGTTCTATTCAAAACCCAGGAAAAATGTCACAAAATGTATCATAATTCCAGAGTAAAAGATTATGCAGTACTTTCACAGCTTCTTCATAGCTGGAAAAATCAAGGATATGTGACATTTGCGTAAATAAGAATGACTTTCCACTGTGAAGAAATGCAAAACAACCTGCCCCTACAGCAAGCAGCAGAACTATTTCTTTACACAGTCAAGCACTGATCCATTTCGGAAGACAAGAGCCGGGAAGGGCTGTGCATCTTCCCTGCTCTCTCCACCCACAGTCCCTACATCCAAGACAGCCAGGCTTCTGCTCAGCTTAGTTCACCCCACTGGCTCTGTTCATGCCTGGCAGCATACAGAAATTGCCCCCTGCATTCACACAGGTCTGAAGCAGGAAGTGACCCAGCTTCTCAGCCGTACTCATTTAGCAATCTGCTTACTGCAACAACATGGTGCTGTTTTTTCCTGCTTACCCGCCAAAAGTATTTTCTGTTCGCATTCTTGGGAACCGTATCGCTGGTATAGATCTCTCCTACCAGGGGTCCAAAGCGCGTTCCTTTTGGGATGTACTCTTTGCTTATAACTCCAGTGACCTACAAGAAGAGCAGCACAGGATCAGTCCATCGCCAACAGAAATCAAGAAGTCTTCCTTCCTCTCCCCTGTCCCCCAAACTTAACAAGGTAAAGCAACCAATGCAAGAAATTTGTAGTGACAGCTCAGCAAAACAGAAATAAATTAACAACTGTGCTGGATACGATACAACCAGCTTTGCTAGATACTAGCATCTTACTGAGACATATGGAAGCCAAAGAAGAACACCACCTGAAAAATGGGTTTTGTGGAAATACATTTACATGAAGGAACAGTAAGCGAAATGTACAGAGACTGTCAAATATCTTCAGAAGTTATTTCTCCTATCAAAGGCAACCCCCAAAAGTCTAGTTCCAGCGAACAAAAATATTCAATAGCTATCAATCACTTCACTGCTACAGAGCTTGCTTTTCTAATAAGTTAGGAACTGGAATGACTGCTCCTCCAGATCAAAATGAAACCTTCTCCCCCACCCCCACCTTCTTCGCTCTACACCCATCCTGATAGCTAAAATGAGAATGAAAAAAAAGACAATCTACAATTCTCTCACCAGCACACAGTGGCATACAAAACAGAATATGAAATGGCTTTGGGACATGTACTCACAGATCACCCTCTTTTATAAAAAGGAGGCAACAGTTCCGGTAACATATGTCAAGTGGGTTTGGTCAAAAAGGCGTAAGGGTTTTGATGAAAATGCTCCACTATGCTAGGTCTAAAAAATGTACTCTAGTTGTTCAGCTTCCTTCTTGACAGTAATTATACCAAAAAAAGTCACTGACCACAAATCAGGAAGCAATTCATCATTATTGAGAAGAACGTGCCTTGGAGTAACCCTTTGCAAAACACTGCTGAGTTATTGGTTTTGTCTCTCTCTGTTCCTCACCAATCTTCTTAAATTTAACGTACCCAAACAATGTTAGAAAACCAACAATTTTGTAAACCCAAACCCCCAAGCTTTTGCAAGATTGATCCTGCTGCTCAGATAGTGGGAAAAAAAAGAAGGTAAAAAAACCCATTAATTTTATATTATAACCAAATTTTCATGGCAAAATGTATTAATTGTATCCCCTTCATACATCCTGCCACTTGTCTTTTTTGCTCAACAGGACTTCAGAACAATACAGGAACAGCAGAAGTGGCTGACAACACTGAGAGTTGGGATTACTGCTGTCTGTATCCTGCAAGGAATCAATGCTCGTACCAAAGCATATTAGCACTCATCAGACCCTGCAGATAGCTCACTTCAGTGAGCATTTCTTCGTAACAGTCCTTCACAGCAAACGATGGTAAAAACCTGGACTGTGGACAGCACTTAAACTACCTAACCCTTGTGACTTTCTTATGCTACATTTTCTTCTGTTTTATCACCCATGGTGTGAGAGAGGGAGACAGACAGACAAATACTTGCTTGTGTATTGGTCAAGATTAAAAATCCCAGCAAACAACCAACGCCTAGCATAATTTCATGTTAAATGTCAAAATAAAGGGGACAAATAACAGCCATGGAATCAAGCAGGTAATCCACCCGGAAACAGATTGCTGGGTGTATGTGGTGGCTGTTTGCGCTCGCCTGTGTTTCAACATGTGTTTCAGCACACTACAAAAAAAATTAAACATCAACAGTAGAGGTAGTTAAATGCTCCATTGATCTGTGCATCTGGACTGAAGAGAGAGAAAAGGGACTTCCAGAAATTTTCCTACACGTACCACAAGCTGAAACAAGCTCAGTGGCTCAGTTTTATTTTTGTCTTGCTTGTACATTTCTCATAGAGAGCTGAAAAAGGCAGATGTTCTTCTCATCTTCCCCATATATCTTCATTTACATCCATCTGCCCTCTCATGAAAAGTTCACAAGCAAGCTACAGCATACCCTACCAGTTTTACTGCATGGTAGCTTGAGTTTTTTCATGGTTTTAAAATATTTTGGCCTTAATTAAAATGACTTTAATGAAATTCTCAGAATCTCTAGAAATCACTCCTCAAACTAGTCAACTTGAAACACTCACTCAACTGGTGTCTGACACAGCAGATACTTTTTGATATCTACCTTACATGCGATGTTTGCTTTTCCCCTGGCACAGCTGAACATGAAGACGATTTCTCACCCTGCACCCATGAGAAGGTTATTTTGGCAGAGGATGTTCTCCACATCCATGTGTGCCCACTGAAGTTTTGCTACACCAGACTAAAGCTGTCCAGACGACTTTTAACCGAGGGTGGCCTTCTGGTCAGCAATTCCTGGCCTCCGTTGTGCCCCCACGAGCTCAGCTGCTGTGGTCGAGGAGGGGTACCCCCCAGGAGAGGGGTTCCAGCAGTGCCAGGACAGGCTGGCTCCAGGCTGCCCACGGCCCCCCCCGCTGCAGCCAAAAGGGGCTCCTGCCCTGCCGTAGCTTAGGCGGGGGGCAGCTTAACAAGAGGCCACGAAGCACAGAGCTGCCGAGGGCTTGTAGAAGAAAGAGTGAAGGAACTCCACGTCCAGAGCTGAGGGGAAGCTGTCTGCAGGCTGCCGAAAAGCTGTGGCAGAGAGGCATTTCAGACTTGTGTCCACCAGGTGTCCTTCAGCACGCTGCTGCATCTCGGCGATGAGACCTTCCGAAACAGCCTCGCGGCAGGGAACCACAGGGGAGCATGACCTGAGCTCGCCCCCCACAAATAAAAGCCTAACTGCCCTTGCGCAGCGTTCGAGGTCTGAAGCACGCCGTAAGGGAGCAACGTGCTATTTTCAGAACAATTTCCTCTCTACAGACACTTACCCCCTCTCCCTTCAAAGCTCCAACTTTCAATGCTCTTGCAAGCCGGCCGCTACCACATTTTTCCTTTCAGTAAAAGAGCATTTCCAGCACGAAGTCCAACGTTAGCCTGAAGCCGCGAGGAGGGTTCTCGGCCCGGCGGGCAAGCTGTGCGGCTCCTGCCGAGGCCGGGCTGAGCTAACCCGCTCTCCCCTCGGTCGGAGCGGGACGGGACGGGACGGGACGCGCCGAGAGGAGCCGGCCGGCGAGCGGGGGCCA